AAATGAATATAGAGAGGGAATGGGATAGGAAACAAAACTAAAAAAGTTGAAAAACTTGGGTATATTGGGCGGCACCTGTGGCTCAAAGGAGTAGGGCACCGACCTCATATGCCAGAGGTGGTGGGTTCAAACCCAGTCCAAACTGCCAAAAACCCCAACTTGGGTACATTAAGAAAATTATCAATATTTAGAGCAGGTTACTGTAATCTTGCCATATTTTATTCTCATTCTGCATTTATTTTAGGTATTCTTTTCTAATTCAGACATCTCTGGGTTAGATTCCCTAGATGTAGTGCCTCCGACAGGGGTTTGGATGTGGACGACTGCTCAGTGCAGCGCTCTCAGGAGAGGGAGTACAGGAAGCAGGGCAGTGTGTGCAGGAAGGAGCGAAGGGGGCTGTGGGCTTGGGGCACGCTGAACGTGCATTTCACCACATATCTGGTTCCATCACCTTGAAGCAAGAGGTGAGCCTCTTCCCCATGTCTGACAGTCACTGCCTGTGACTGCAAGTACCTGAGGTGTGTGGGAGCCTAACCACCCTGCCCAGGTGCCTGTGCATGGTGGTGGTTAGTCTCCAAAATGACCCCAACAACCTTCCCTGTCATGCTTTTGTGCCTCATGTCTTCACATAGTTCCCTTCCATACTGAAGAGAGCTGGGTGATACTGTAGAAATGACAGTGTGTGACTTCTGAGGCCAGACCAGAAAGACTACCACCGCTGCCTTGCTCTTGTCCTTAGGGAAGCCAGCACAATGTTGTGAGAACAGTTAGGCAGCCCTATGGAAATGTCATGGTGACAAGACGCGGAGGCCTCCCGCCGACAGCCACACAAGTGAGCCAAGTTGGAAGATGATACTGTAGTCCCATGTGAGCCTTCCAACGACCCAGCCCTGGCTGACTTCTTGACAGCAATCTCTTGAAAGACGCTAAGCCCAAGCCCCACAGCTAATTAATAGCCAAATTCCTGGCTCATAGAAAATCGCATGATAAATGCGTATTGTTGCTTTAAGTCACTAAAGTTTGGAATGATGTGTTAGGTAGCTGTAGATAAAGAATACAGATGGTTCCTATTTGTTAGGGGACAATTTCCCAGAGAACAGGGCAGCTGTGAGTTATCAGCAGCCAACACACAGCAGCCTGGAAGCAGATAAATCAGCCAGGTGAAAGGGATGTGAGTAGGGCAGCAGTCAAAACACTGGCTTAGTATTTCTTATATTAAACCTGTTGCTAAACTTCCCATGCTACTTATACGCAGTGTCATGTCAAGAGCTTAATTATGGCCCAGACATTATAGTTTTAAAAATGGTAGCTCTCAACAACATAGAATTAAGACCTGGTGAAAATATTCTTTAGAAACGAAGGAAGATGTGCATAAACAAAAGTTGCAAAATTTCCTCACTAGTAATAAGCAACAAAAAATATACTCAGGCTAAAGCAAAATGATTCTATATAAACACATGAAACTGAAAACAGAAGGGTACCGGAAAGAATAACATATGATAGTAATTATCAATAAATGTTGACGATCTAAAAATGAGAACAATAATTGTCTTGGGGGTTCTGAAAATGTTGGTAGAAGTAAGATATTTGTTGGCAAAATAACAAATGATGGGAAGAGAGTAATGGAGTGAAACTGCTGAGCTTCTGATATTATTCAATGGAGTGGTAAAAGTTCTAATTTAAAGTAGATAGTAAAAATTAAAATTATATATTGTGATCTCTAGGATAACCATTACGAGAATAATAAAGTATTAATCTAAAAAGCTACAAAAGGAAACAATCTGTTAAATTCTGTTAATTCTATAATTAAAAATATCTGTTAAATATCTGTTACTTCTCTAAATTAAGGCAAGAAAGGAGGAATAAAGAAAAATTGCAAGAAGAGCAAAAAGCAGCCATAAGCACAACTACTTTCAGAATGTCATATTGCTGAACAAAAATAGAAACATTACCCCGTGAAACAAAGACTGGTGAGTCTCTCAATAAATACTGTTGGCCAGTCCCCCACCCCCCAAAAAAGTAGTAAGTCATATATCTAAATGTAAACAATGGTAAGGCTGGGACTCAAGACATACCACCCCAAAATAGGACTGTGGGAGACCAGAATATGCCAACTCAGGAATATTACTCTTTGGCATATTCATTACTTAAAGCTGGTTGTTTGGGGAAACCAAACACACAGAAGTAGCTCTGAAATGCTGACTTTTTATAAAATAAGTTTAGGAGGTCTGACCATAAAGTTCCAAACTCATCCTAGGAAGAAGTGCTACATACCCCATTGCTGATTATCACAATGGTCAGCTTCAAAGGACTCCCCTTGGGAAGCTGTGCACTGATACCAGTGCCTGGTCCACACTGCAAAGGAATCTTCCCAAGTGAGTTCATGAACTTAATGGCAGACCTTATATAGAAAGGAAATTTTCATTAGTGAATGCATCTGAATCAGGAAGAAAACTTTCAGGAGACAACTTTTATCACCTGAAGGACTTTAACCTGCACAACAGGGTAACCTTTGTTCATCACACATTTCCTCTTCGCCCCTCCCAAGCTCTTCTCACCAGTCCTCAGAAGTCCTAAGCTCCTATTCCTTCTGTAGCTCAGACTATCTCAGCTTCAATCACCTGGCCCTTCTTGGAGTGTCATATTGTTGTGGGTCTCTCATGGAAATATACATAATTAAAAAGTGTTTTTCTCCTGTCAATCTGTCTTATGACAATTTAATTCACACCCCAGCCAAAGAATGCAGGAGGGTGGAGAAAAACCATTTTCCCCCTCCCCTACAGTTATATGAATGCCTCAGAGGAATGGTTTGAATACTAGAAGGCTACATCAATAAGACTTGAAGACTTGAAATGATTTTTTTTAAGTGAAGAGGCCATAATTCCATCAAGTTTAAACTATAAAACTTTCATAATATAAGCTGAATCTAAAGTAAACTATGACAGGACAATGACACAATTTTAGAAGACTATGCCTCATTTATAAGTAAAATGCACTTTAAAGTTTTAGCAAACATGGAGTGGTTATTTTCCTTTACATTGACAAAGCCACTGATGCATTTTACAATTTCTACTTTTCAACTTCTACAGAAACTATATTAAGCTATAGAAATTGCTGAATTATTTTATTTCACAGCTTTCTTTTAATGTTTTAGCTTGGTTTAAATTTATAGAAAAACATTTCTGTTAGAAGAATTCTCATTGGAATTGCCAAAAGTAAACTTTTAAGAAATAATAGCTAAGAAAAACCGTGGTTAAATAAACTTTATGGGAGGCCATTGTTTTGAACTAAGCTCCTGCCTGAGTTCCCAACAGATCAGACCAAAACAAAACGGAGTTACTCCGCCTAAAGGCGGTTTCATCAAACTGAAATTTTAATGAAGCAGACAAATCCTAACACAAACCAGGTTTTCCTGAAAAATAGGAGATTCCAGTCTACTTGAGTCCATATAATAAAAAAGTCCCCTCTGCTTTAACCCTCAAAAGAAGCATCCTGATGTAACCTCACATAACCAATGGTTTTGTTCTACTGTTCTGTTTCCTTGTTTCCACCTTACAAAAGCCATTCTTCTGTCATTGCCCAGTGGGAGTTTTCATTCTGTTTTGCAGAAGGGATTCTAATGCATGAATCATGGATCAAAGGTAATTAGATCTGTGAAGAAATGTGTTGCAATTTTATCTTTTGACGCCATCATGGATAATACACTAATTTGTAAAAAAAAAAAAAAAAGAAAAAACTAACTCAGAAAATATTAATTCATGTTATTTTATTTTTTCTACTTTACTTTTATAAGAAACAGGATCTTGCTCTGTCACCCAGGTTACAGTTACAATGCAGAGGCATATGAGATCATTGCAACCTTGAACGCCAGGGCTCAAGCAATCTTCCCTCCGAAGTCTCTTGAGTAGCGAAGACTACAGGCACCTGCTACCACGCTCACCTAATTTAAATGTTTTTTGTTGTTGTTGTTTGTTTTTTGTAGAGATGGCATCTCTCTGTGTTGCCTAGGCTGACTCAAAGTCCCAGCCTCAAGCAATCCTCCCTATATTGGCTTCCCAAAGTGCTAGGATGACAGGTGTCTGCCACTGTGCCTGGCCAACATCACCTTTTATGAATCACATAGGCAGTGTTTTGTTTAATCATTTGGATGGGTCACTCGGAAATTTACTTTTTCCTGGTCTATTTATTTTCTACAAAAGCTTAGTTTTCCTCTTAATCAATGAATTACGAAAGGAAATTGAAACAAGTCAGCAAGCATTCTTTGTATATTATCCCTGTCTGGAGAGTCACTATGTCTATTATACACTACAATAAAAATTGATTTATGCTTATCATATGAGATAGCAAAGAAAAGATTACAGAAAAATTGAATACCTTCAGCTTTCATGAAAATTTCGACTGGTGACATTTTAAATATATTTTAGTTAGGGACATATGATTTTAAATCACGCTTTTCATCCAAACTTTAAGTGTACATGTTTATATGTGTGCATATAAAAACACACCTACATTTTCTCAGATTCAGAAAGTTGAATTAAGCATGCTCCTCAATTTCTGCCATACTATCTAATTTAACCTAGAACATTTCTATCCTTACTTATTTTATTATCTTATTTTTTCATGCTTTTCTATGGGGATGTCTTCCTATAAATACTCATTCTAACTTATAATTAATATAAATAATTCACCATATCTACATTTTGATTAATACATACTGATTTTATGTAAACATTTCTAATTTATATAAATGGTGTTGCATTATTGTTTTCATTATAATTTTAGGTTTCTTCTCTCTAACCATAGCGATATTTTGCGATATGAAAATTTGTTCATTGCTTTTGATGCTTCATCATGTTTCAAAGTCCTACATTTTTCTTTTGCACTTTTCTCAGCTATGGACATAGAGTTTGCTTCAAATTCTCAGCTACTACAAATAATCAGGAATGCCTCTTTTGGATATGAGTAAGCATTTCTCTACAATATATCCTGGGAAGGTAAACTGCCGTCTAGAAGGGATATGAGTTTTAACAGCAAGATTCTGGTCAGAACCGCTGTACTAGGGCATAATATGATCATTCACCTAGAAAACCAATCCCATCAACCTTAGAAATAGAGTTCAGAAAAATGGCCCTTTATAGCATTATCTTCTTATCTTTGTCTAAATGAATATATCCAATATAACTCTAATCAAACACCAACAAAAAGATTTTAAAATGCATTTGGAAAAACAAATTTAAAAGGATCCAAGAAAATTCTGAAAAACAAGAGTAAATTATGTTCCTCTCAAGATTTTACCAAATCCTTCAAAGCAAAAGCAATCATAATAATAATTTTTAAAAACTATAGGAAGCAAACACTGGCTTACTAACAGACAATAGACTGGAACACCTTTATTTAGAGGTTAGATATGTGAACTTAGAATGGGTATGACGTGCAAAAAAACATAAGGAAAGAATTGATTGTTGGAGAGTGCATTGGGAAAACTAGCTCAGGGTATGGCAAATTTAAGTTAGAGCTTTATTTTCCCACACTTATAAAGATATATCTAGTATAGTAAATAAAATGAGAGAAACAGAACTGTAGAACCAATAGAAAAAATATAGTAGAATAAATTTTTGAATTGATGTAGGTAAGAAATTTTAAACAAGAAAAAAATTGATCTAGATCAGCGATTCTCCACCTGTGGGTTGTGACCCACAGGAACTGTATTAAAGGGCCGCAGCATTAGGAAGGTTGAGAACAACTGTTGTAGATATTAAAATTAAGAATCTGTGTTTGATAAAAGTTATCTTAGACTAAGTTTCTCATCTCTTTTACTTACATTTAAATGAACTATTATCTTAGATATAAAATGTTGTCAAAGCCTAAAAGAAATGAATTAATATAAAGAACATAAAAAGAACATATTCTACACATGGATAAATTAAATATAAAAAAAGAACCTAGTAGTGCCTAGTAGTCGGGAACCTAGTAAACACAGAAAAGGAAACTTAGAAAAATGAGAAAAAAACAATGTATAAAATACTATAATACAGTTTTTAAAAACTATAGTTAATATTGTTAGAGCAGTAAGAGAAAATACTTCATCCATGAAGCAATGGTAGGCTATGAATTTAAAGAATAAAATAAAGAACAAGAAAAAAATTGTTGGAAATTAAAGATGTAAAAAGAACATCTATTTGCCACAGGAAAAAAATTCACAGTTTTTCACTAGTTCCCAGTTCACAGCTTTGGAGCACCTTGATGGAAGTAAGGCTTGGACTCCCATAAGAAAGAACCCTGCAACAATTGCAAAGATGTGGGAGCAAGCCAAGTGCCCATCTGCCCACGAAGAGATCACTAAACTGTGGTATGTGTACACCATGAAATACTACTCAGCTTTAAAAAAGGTGGAGGCTTGACATTTTTTGTATTTGCCTGGCTGTATCTGGAGACCACTCTCCTTAGTAAGGTATCTGAAGAATGGAAAAGTGAGCATCCATGCCCTCAGTACCAATCTGAAACCAGTGGATCATCAACTATAAGCCCACACGAGAGAAAAACACAATTAAATTCATGAAGAGGGGAAAGAGGAGGAGGACGGGCAAGTCCCCACCTACTGGGTACAATGTAGGGGTATGTGGCGCACTTCTAGGTGAAGGACTCAACTCCAACTTGGACTTCACCTTACAAACACAAATAATGTAGGGCGGTGCCTGTGGCTCAAAAGGGTAGGGCGCTGGCTCCATATGCTGGAGGTGGTGGGTTCAAACCCAGCCCCAGCCAAAATAATAATAATAAAAACAAAACAAACACAAATAATGTAACCTAACTGTAGGTCCTCTCAGATTAAATTTAAAAAAAGAAAGAACCCTGCATAAATACTACAATTTGTATAAATCTTCCCCCACTGATTCCCTACAAGTCCCTGTGGTCATTTTGCTTCCCAGGAATTATTAGACACTAAATCTAATTGATTTATATTCCAAACACCCAGACTACTATTATACTCTCTCTGTATAAATGAAAACTGACAGAAATCAAATGAAAAAGGAGTTTCTAGACTCCATCTTACACTGGGGTGCTGAGTCAATAGACCCACCCTGTATTCATTTCACACTCTGAATGCACAGTTGGACTAGACCTAATTGCCCCTCATACAGTCACCATACTGGTTCCCCAACTCATGGAGGGAACACCAAATTGAAATTCCTAAGACTGCCTTTCCTGGAAAAAATACTAAAACAGAAGAATATCATATCCCTCAAGAATTATTGAAATTAGGGAAAAAGCAGTGGCCGTCCTCCCTAACCCTTCCCTATCCACCCCACCTGTTCTGTCTATGCACACTAACATGGCGGTCATGGAGACTGGCTGGCTTATCATGAAGTCAGAGAGGGACTCCAACTGCAGATGGTCCTATGTGTGTGCTGACCACGAGAGAAAATCAAACATGTCCCGACACCTGCTATCCAGCTAACGATTTTGCAAATGATTTTGCCTCTTTACCAGTTAGAAAGACAATCAGAAATACATGTATTTTTCTTTCACCTGGAAAAAAAAAACCAGTATCCCCTCACTATGAGACCTCATGGCAACTTTCCCAGCCCACAAACAACAGGTGCCTTGATTGTCTGGATATCCTATAGGACACAATGCTGACAATAGAATATTGATCACCTTATCCTAGAGGGCTTAGTGGACATGTGTGACGCTTCTGTGTGGAAACAACACTGACATTTCAATTGCTTAACAACTCAGCAGACTTCTGAAGTGAGGTCAGAGTCTTATTAGGCAAATTTCTACAGTGAAAAGAACCTAACATTCAGTGTTAGGTTCAGTGTTTTTTGGACCTGTTTGCATATCAGACAAAATGTGTTATATACTTGGCTGTGTTTCTAAAACCCACTTATATACGGTAGCAAAAAAGAATTTTTGTATGAGAAAGAAAAGGCTTTCGCAAGCTGCTCTGATGTTCGGTCTAGATGACTTCCTTTCCCCATTCAGTGGTACCTGAAGTGTCTTCACTGGGCTAGTTGGTGGTGGGTTGGTTGGCTATTGTGTAAATTGAGCCCTGGTACAAACTATATACTTTAACTTGACCATGAGCTAGCAAGTGACTATGTAACCTGAGAGGCCTATGATGAACCACAGGTATCTGATCTGCCAGGCTGTAAGTTTAAGTTTGTGTAGAAGCAAAGTATCATCATGCAGATGTGACCTATTAGAAATCAAGCTCAAGCAGGCAGAGAAAGCACAAGTAAGGTGCATAAAAAGGCAGCCCAGACTCAGCACCCATTCCCAATACATTGGCCCACATACTTCAGTTGAAATTTATGACTTCATGGGGGAATAATCAGTTCAATTCAAAAAACACTGACTGAGAATCTCACATTCACCAGGTCATACACAGGTCAACCAAACATAAACACACAAAAATAATAGTTTCCTCCAGGTTTAAGAGTTTTTCAGTTCAAGCACTAATTATCAAACAAAAGGACACTAATGAAGGGTTGCATTTAATGTGTAAAATAATGATAAGCATAATGGTAGAAATGTGAGTTACAGAATCAATCCCTACTCAATGTTTATCGTTTTGAATCAACAGATAGCCATTTTCAGCATTTCATGTCAAAGATATGGAAATTTTTTTTCTTTACCCTTTAGACACAAGGTCTCACTGTCACCAAGACTGGAGTGCAGTGGTACAACCATAGCTCACTGAAACCTTGAATTCCTGG